CCCCCCCATCCCCAACAGTTTCTCAGCGGATTGGGGCTGTACTGCGGGCTGTACTCAGCAAGCGCAGTAGCGCCCAACTGAGATTTGAAAAAAAATCAGTGGATGACTGTTTTCTGACTGGTCGGCAGACCGCCGACCGGTCGTCCCTACTGGTCGGCGGTCAGGGTCAGCAGTCGGCTGGTATGCAAACCCTGTTTATATCTGATTTTGATCCTGTACAGACACTTGCGGACCTGCAACTCACATCCGAGGAACACCCATACCCCTTCCCGCGTGTCGGTCCTTTTCAGCTCCAGGTTCCTGACATAGATCCCCGCCGGCCTCTTTATTATTGCTTCCGCCCTTTGCGCCCCTTTCTTGGAGCTACCATCCCACATGAAGGTCGACAGGTCATCGACTAGCCTTATACCCTGCACCAAGTTCTTGTTCCTGCCCAGCGAGTTCAGGAAGCAGGCGTCATTAAAAATGCACAGCAGGCAGGCCAGCGGCGGGCTGCTGCTCTTTCCCATTGGCACTCCCATCACCTGTCTCAAGATCCTGCCTGCTCGTACCAGGTACAGGTGGTCCAGCTCATACCTTACAAACTCCACCATCTGCTCTGTACTTACAAATGCAAGGAAAATAAGCAACAGCGAGATGACAATCCCAGATCACACCATCACATTGCAAGTCAAATAGTCACACCGTGTCCAGTGGGCAGCATTGCACCAATAATACACCAATGGAGTTTCGTAGCACTGAAAACCAATGTTTATGGGGAGCACACTCTCTCCTCTTCAACACAAGTATCCGTTCCCTTACACTCACTCCTGTCTCTTATACACATCTAGATGTGTATAAGAGACAGGTGAAGTGGCACGCATTGTGTTACACTCGGCAAGAAGTGGTCAGTCAGGACGCTTGCAAACTTGGTATCGGAGCAGAAGCTTGTTGCACTCACTGCGCTGGCATGAGCAAGGCCGGCGAGAAGAAGAAGAGAACGCTGGCTTGAGGATGATGCTGGCGATGGTGGAGTTGTGAGACAGAGGTGGATTGGGATTGGGGAAGAAG